TCAAGAGGAGGACCCATATGACTATTACTACGAAGACCCCGATAATTTAGAAAATCCCTAAAGGTTATACCTCACTAGTCAGAATGTATAGAAACTTCCGCTGTGTATTAATCAGATAGGTGAGTACCTATTATTGTAAAACCCTTAGTATTGTAAGACTTTAACATATGCAATGAAGAACCAGTTATATTGCATGTATCAATTTTTAATGATCCAAGGATTGATACATTAATCTCAGTCGGATCCAAGTTGTTAATTTGGGTCCCGACAGAGAGGCCCAGAGATATCTCTCCATAGGAGGGGCAAATCCCATCTTGATTATTCATATCCCACTACATGTTTCACAGCATACCCGAAAACTACTTTTATAACTACCCAATTATAGAGTATCGTTTAGCAGTCCCTAAGTAAGCTACTACACATGTTGAGAACCATGATAATCTCAGGTCTAAGGATCAACACCAATACTAAATGAGATCACTGATGACACAACACATATGGCTCTTGCAACGTCTCATGTTGGGTCTATCCAACAACATGTTCCCCAACATGTGTCCACATTATTAATTTGTTATCTCTGTACTATGATCTATGAGATATGATCATCAATTAATACATGTGCTGATCATTTAAACATATTTGTTCCACATATGATATTTGATCAGGGATCCTTTAGAAATAGTAACAAACAACATAAAGAGTCTCATGAAAGAATTACATATTCATTAACCAATAATGAGTTATCTATTTTAAGGAACAAAGTCGGATAAATATGTAAACATAGTATGTGATACAATTATCTCTATGATTGTCTCTAGGGCATATCACTAACAGCGTGCTGGAAAGGAATCACGGTGTCGTATGAGCTCTATCAGCGGGAAACATATAGTTCAACTGTATGACTATTGCAAACATAAATTTTAGTGCTGCGCATGTCAATACTAATTGGGTGCATTGTTTTGCTGTAGAAAACAGTAAATTAGGGTACTTCGAAAAATGATACTCCCTCTGTTTTAATTTACTTATTGAATCTCAGACTAAATTAGAAGGTCCTAGCTGTCACGCCCGGAATTTCTATCCAAAATTCCAAACGCTTACATGTGTGTTAAACCCTCGTCCAGGAATCAGCCGAGGCACACAATAACAAATTGATAATAGAGTACAAATAAATAACTATTTAATATTCGCAAATAATAAATTATTACAGAGGTGGATAGTTCCTCTCAAAGAATAACATTCTACGCAGCGGAAAAAAAAAACTAAAACAAATTACGGAACAGCTATGGCGACTCCACTCCACAGGCATCTTAACCAAGAACAAGCTTAATCCTCCAGATCATCACCTTCGCTGAGATACTCCTCTTCTGATGATTGAATATTGCAAGAATGAGCATATGACATACTCAACAAGCCACACAGCAAATATGCAAGTGCACAGGATAACAAAGGATGGCATAATATAGCTCATTTGCATAAACAGCATTTAATAAATATTTAAGATAATAGTAAAATAGTTGAATAATTAATCAATATTAAATAACACCATACAACATACCCGTGTTGTATAGGCCCAACCTCATATGAACAACCAACCCCGGTTGAACAAATTAAACCTCCAAACCAGGAATATACCATTCCAAACCAGGAGTCCAATTAATTAACACAATTACCATTAATGAATAGTGTGAGACTAATCACGAAAAACATTGTTCAACTCACCCATAACCGCGGGTACGGCTATTCGAATAGATTAAACTCTGATCAGAGGTGTACCATTGTACCCACAAGATACAATCCCACAACATGTTACCATGCGCCTTAGTACCACCACGGTACCTCGGAAAGAAACTGTGACATTACCCCTTGCACAACACCACTCACCACAGTGCACCGTCCCTGGATCATAATCTCCCCCTCAAAACCAGAGGCAATGGACTCCCCAGCGACCCCCACGGACTTCTCGCCGCTTCACAGTCTGGCACACTATAATGAATCATGCTATACAAAAGATAAAGCCGTTGCCCACGCTGGCTTGTGGTTGGCACAGTAAATATTTCACAACAGTAGCTCGCGAACCGGTCCTTAATTGTCATGAGCACAACCATCAAAACCATATACTCACAACCCACCTTAACCAGGTTTTAATTAGCAATTAATTACCATCACACGATTAACCATCGTGAGCTACCATTGAATATAACCATAATTAATAATAATAATTATATAATATAATTTATATTTAACCCCTTTAGTTAGCTAATGTTTCTAAGCATAGCTAAGCGAATATACATATAGCATTTAGCTGAACCAATCCAATATATAAGGTTCATGCTAATCAAATTATAACCCATAGGAAAATAAAGTCATCTTCGGCCATTAATTAACGGGGAAAGGTTAACCACCCGATGACATTCGAAAATAATGCATAGTTGAAATAAAACAATAGCTTTAAACGGGTTCAACATGCTCAAAGGGTTGTTTGGGATCTGTGTGACTTGCCTTAGGCTTCCACAAACGCTTCGGAACCTTCCTCAACGGAAACACTCTCCTCCGGAACGTCGGAAACTAACGCAATTAAACAAAAATCAACAAAACAGTAAAAAATAAGCATAAACAGTACATGTGGATATTTTTAACATGTAGATCTCAATTTCAGAAAAATTTAGCAACTTGAACCACCTGAAACGGATCTACGGTTATTTAGTTATGATTTTCCAAAGTTTTAATCTATTAGAAAAACGGGAAAAAGAAAAAACGATGATGACGTCATGATGACATCATCAATGGCCGGCCCGGGTTGGCGACCTCGCCGGAGATTGGATGGTTGGCCGGGATTTTGGAGGACATGTACACGTAGAGGACGACGAGACGAACCCAACGGTACTCACCCTCGAGCCAAACGACGAACGACGACGGCCGGCGACGAGATGAACGGCGGCGGCGGCTCCGGTCGGCGGTGGCGGGTAGGCTCCGGTGGTCGGCGGCAACGGGGGACGGGCGGCCGGGCTTCCCCTCACCTTGGCGCACCTATTGGCGGCGGCGGCAAGCGGCGGCGACGACGAAGGCGGCGGCACGGCGCTACCGGAGATGGCCGGCGGCGGTGGCGACGACTCTACGGGGCACTAGAGAGCTCGGGAAAGGGGGCAAACGAAAGAGGAGGACTAGGGGATCCTATTTATAGCCTTGGATTGGAGATATCGGACTCCTCCCGCAAGAAATCGATCCGGGAAATCAAAAACTCGGTTTTGGAGATAAACTCGAAAACGAGTTCGATTTGGATAAAATACTCAACGATTAGCTCCGATTTTTGGGGGTAAAGATAGAGGAGGATGAGATGAGAAAAACCCCTCAAACAATCGGACTCGGGGAGGCCGGATTCGATGCGGATTTGGAGGGGAAATGGGGCGGCTCGAGCGGATGCGGATTTGGAGGGGAAATGGGGCGGCTCGAGCGGCATGGCTGGGCTCGGCCGGCCGGCTGCTAGAGGTTAGGGAAGGGTCCGACATGTGGGGCCCACATGTCGGTCTCCCAAGTGGAGGGGGCGGCTGGCGGGTTGGGTTAGGCCGGCTCGGTGGCTTTGGGCCGGCTCGGGCGCGCGGGAGAGAGAGGAGTTGGGCCGAAATCGGCCCAACAACTTAGGGAAGGGATTTTTGAACTTTTTAACTAAAATAATTTGTGAAATGTTGTTCCAATTATTAAAAATACTTCCCTTGCTCAAATAATTCCCAGAAAATTCTAGAAAATAGAGAAACAAGTAAAGTATTTAATAAAATTTTATCTAGCTCATTTTTATGTTGAAAATTTTCCTAGATTATTAGAGTTTAACTTGTAGGCTTTTAATTTAATTTCTAAAAAAGACTTAAACAATGTATTTATAATTTAGGCGATTTTTAGGGCGTGACACTAGCTAGTCGTAATCACCATCCTAATATTAAAGCTTCCATCATATATTTTTACAAATTATACCAGTCTTGGATTTAAGGAGCAGCCTGTGCCAATTTGCTACTTTGTAATCATTAACTCCTAATTTTAGAATGAAAATCACAAAATACATAGAGTAGTTCTACTATAAGATTAACATCTCCAAATTCAAAATTAAGTAATTGTAAAATATGTAGTCTCAGTTATAGTATTTTTTTCATGACTTAATAGTTATGATATTCAGAATTATAATTAATAAGTACTGAGTTGTACTCAACGTTATGGCCATTTTTTCATTTTTTTAATTCAATAAGTATGAATTTATAAATTTATAATTATGAAATTATATGATTTTAGAAATTCTAATATAATTGTGTTGTACTTACATGTCCTCTTATTTAATCTATTCAATCGCAATTGATTTTATTTTTTTAGATTTGAGTTATTTTATATTGTATATGGGATGGACTTTTTTTTGCTCTAAATCTAAGTCCATCTACCGCCACCAGAATTAGCACGGATAGATTATTTTCAATCTAGTGTAAATGTGTAACTGCACACTCTCTAGCCAAAAAGATAACAAGGAAAAAAATTGCATGTATGTGCTCGAGCAATTAATGTAAACACCTAGTCTGTAGTGGAATGAAAAATCCTATACTTATGTATTCTCATAATATATACAGCTTAAGAATACAATTAATACTATGGGGCATGGTTGGTCCAGAAGAGAGATTAGGTAGATAGTTAATCTCGCCGGAAAAAAAAGAAAGGTAGATAGCTAATCTTTTTTAGACAGAAGGCCAACGGCCCAGCTTATAATGAAAGAGGTTTTACGTCGCTAGGGGTTACCCAGTTTAACAGCAGCACAAAAACAGGAGGGATAGTTATCCTTACATATTCTTTTATCTAAGAGCCGTGGGATCGCTGAGAGATTAAGAGCCGTGGGATCGCTGAGAGATTAAGGCTGCCACGTCAGCTTGATTTGGACAAAGCTAACAACGATAAAGCTAACAACGACAAAGCCACAAATGAGGCCTCCAATCGTTTTGGTTGGGCTTAATATTACCTTTGCCGGCCCTTCCTTACACATGGGATGTTTCCTTTCTTATCGCTCGGCCTGCTCAACCCCCTACCTTGGTGCGATACTGCTGTTTCTCCTCTTCCTACACGCAGCAGCGCCGCATCGATTTGGGCGCTCACTACGTACGGTGCTCGCCGGATTGGCCGGCGTCCCTGCCGCCGTACACGGTAGTGGAGGTCCCTTGATGAAAACTCCTCTCTGCTGGTCCGTAGACGCCTCCTTTCGCCATTCTCTCCTCTTCAGTTTTTTCGGTGAGGTCGCCGCACAGTACCCGTTCTTGCTTTCTCCCCTTTCTTCCTGTGCAAATCTAATCCAGTGGATTCTTATGTTTCTCTTCTTTCCCAGGGATTTCTTCACCGTCCGGTTGTGCATTGGCTTCCCCTAGGACCTTCTTGCGTCGCCTGATTGATCTGCAGGGTGTGCCGCCGTGGGAGACCCTAGGCCTCCACTTCCCGTGCTAAGGTAGTTTAATCATGCTTGGGTGATACCAATTTTTTCCTTATTGTGTGACATTGATTTCTTAGCTTTTTTATTGGTTTTTCAGTTTGTTCATCATGTTTATTATTACTCTATTTACCGATGCCAACCGCACTTACCTCTCCACTAACCAATCTACCGCCTTGCCTACATCGGCCGCATCACTAGCTTCCACCATGGAAGGGGGAAGCAAAGGAGATAGCAACAGCTTAGGGGCACAACCAGAAGATCAACCGGTTCTTCTCCCATCTACTGATCTACATGTCCATAAAGCTGTGGAATCACAAGATCAACCGACTATTCTCCTATGCACTCATCCAGATCTCCTACAAAATTAGGTATTTTCGTCAAATAGATCTCCTCTACATATTTGTTCGTGGTTTGTCTTAGAAGCATCCAATTAATGCTTATTCTTCCCCTACATACATACACCCATTCATTGAGCCTGCCTTTGCTCAAAAATACCTTTCACTTGCAGGAATCAACTACCAATTTCGTCTAGCAGATCCAAACAAGTCAACCAATACTGCATATTCCACCCACACATGACGATCTGTCACAGCTATTGGATCTGATGAATCTATCCTAGATCCAACCGTACACGGCAACCCTGCTCCAGAGCAATATGTCTACCTCCCAGGGGTAAGTCAAAAGAAAAGAACACTCACAAGTTTTTTCCCAAGCGTGCAATTTAAACTTAAACTACCTACACCACATTAGCTCACCCTCTATCTGCTTGAAATTATGATGCATTCACTGCTTTAGTCATATAGTTCAAACATATTACAATATAATTGGCCATTATATATATGCAAAGTAAAATATCATTGCAGTAAACATATAGAAGAATAACAAGACATATTGCACCCATATGAATAATAATTTTAACAAACAATACTAATATATATATCTACATGTACATCTTTATTTTTTAGACAATTGTATTAAGGTATTTGTATCCACACACAACCCAATTGTGCTCACAAATGTTTTTTTAGTCACCTTGATATAAATAGGCTGCAACTAAAGTCTATATCTCAAAGCAGCTCCTGCTAACGCGATTACATCCAAGCCTGGCTTAGTCATACATTCGTCATAGATCAAGTTCGAAGGACCAGATCAGTATAGGGCCAATTTAAACATGGATTTACCAAGAGTAGGCATTCGGGTATAAAAAAATGAGATACATTCTATGGTGAGGTAGCAGACACATCCTACGAAGCTAAAGAGAGTACCACGCATGCAGCCATTCAATGCCTTCAGAGAAAGAAAAATATTGCAATAAAGGATCTACTGAGAAGAAACTCCACACAACCAAGCAAATGTTAGACCTGTTTGCACATAGTCTAGAACTCCACAGAAACGAAGGTCACCTCCTCCAACAGAACCAACAGAAATATAACATGTTAGTGAATGAGATCAACATGATCTGTGCCCAAAGTGCATTATACCTTCCCAAACATGTCAAATGGTTGGGACAACCAGCATGGCCAAACAAATGATATCTCTGTTGCATACATTGGCCATTCTCCACCTGTCACATCAAATGAGATACTTGCAAAGCATCTGATAGCTCTTACGCAGTACAAGCATGATTGATCATCCTTCCTTCCCACATAGGCAAGTATTATTCAATCTCCTACATTATACATATGAGTATTTTCAATGTACCAACAGGTCATTACTAAACAATGTCTATTACCGACCAAGCTATGCATCCCAAATAATGAATTGCATGGATTTTCATTTTGCAGGATAAACAAATGTGTATGTCACATGGCTAGGAAATCCAAATGTGGCTAAACCATCAAAGTGCTGTGTCCACATTGTGCTAGCTTGCATTTGCCCCTTTTTGTAGCATATGTTCAAACCGCTTGGACCATCATAATTGATGAGCAAAACAATATATCCCTATATGTTATCACCACTGTTATAATGTTAAGGTTGTTCAAATATTGTACCATGTACATATCGTACCTGATGTTATCTGTATAAATTTCGTATCCTGTACACATAGATATCGACTCCATGTAAAATAATCTACTCTATGTTACTGTTGTTTCCTCTTTTATGTAAAAATGTCTATGCCTATTATCTTCATCACCATCTTATTCACAGTTGAATAACATGCAACCTCCTGTTTGCATACTTCTTATTAATCTTAAGGAAAACAATTTATTATGATAACTATGACAAACTTTTTTATATATGCAATGAAAAATGCTTAACTCATGGCTCATATAAGATCCCTTGGCCAAAGCTGAATAAAACCGCGCGCGGCATAGCGCGCGTTTATTGCTAGTCAGCTTTATAGCTGAGAATAAAGATTGCACGCAGGCCAAAACACAAAAAAAACAAAGCCCTCAGAACCGTGATAACATGTCATCCAACAGTCGATCTAAGCAACTGCACGGCAGTCATTGTGTTCTCTTCCAGCTGCTCCAACTGGTTGGCGCCTTCCTTAGTCTATGCCACTGTCTCAAAAAGAAAATCACTCGAAAGATCAGCGTGAGAGACGTAGAAGGGATCTTCTTATTGAAAATCATGTTTTTCCTGGCTAGCCAAAGTGCCCAGGCCGTCGCCCCTAACAAGATTATTAGGTTATTGGATTTATGTCATGGTAAGCCAACAAACTGTTCAAAAAATAATTGATGACATAAAGAGGGAGGGGCTCCCCAATCTAGTGCATATCTTAGAATACACCACAGGAAAGTGGCCAAAGGACAAGTGAAAACAATGTGATCAGCATCCTCTGAGCTGTGGCACAGGGTGCAGCTATCCCCTCCCCCTATACGACAACAGTGAAAGAATCAGAAGATACAATCAACCTGTTAAAAGGAAGGGTAGAATACCGAAAGAGCATCAACAATGAATCAATCTAATATTGACGGTTGGCGGATGTGATTGCTTGGTCCTCAACTCTATGGTCGTTGAATATTAGCACCCATCGTTGCTGCTCTTGGCGGAGAGATATAATAATGTTTTCATCTACGGAGAATTTGAGATCAGAACGAAGGGGATCAACACGTGAGAGGTTAATATTTACAGTGGGTCGGATGGGCTGAAAAAGGCCTGGTATAGTTTATTTAACACGGATTCTCGATACAATCTACGATCGTGATCTTATGAGAGCTCGTAAAAAATACCCAGGTATAGAGTATAGATGGCAAATTACATTGCTACCCTCATTAATTATATTTTAATCATCTTTTGCAAAGCAAGCATTAATTTGTTTAGTGAGAGCACAAGTATAACTAGTATGGTTGTTTTAATTAAAGGGTAGGAAGAGAAAGACAACGTCACTGAAAATGCTTTGGAATATAAGAGAGACAAATATTTTTATATAAATCTTAAATGCTACAAGCCTACAACGACAAATTATTTGAAATTAGACTACTAAAAGAAGCTGTTGTATCATAACCTACAGTCAGGGTCTAAAATGCAAATACTGTATCTGTTTCATAGTATAAGTCTATTAGGATTATGGATAACACATATCTAATAGTAGTCGACTAAGCACGACGAGACCCACCATATATCAAGTCTTATACGGAATTATACCTTGTATATATAAGGAGTTCCGGATAAAGAAGAAAAATAGAGTTCAACTTGGAAACGACAAGGACTAACCAGATCGTATCTACTCCCTCCTTCCCTAAATGTTTGACGCCGTTGACTTTTTTAAACATGTTTGACCGTTCGTCTTATTCAAAAACTTTTGTGAAATGTGTAAAACTATATGTATACATAAAAGTATATTTAGCAATAAATCAAATGATAGGAAAAGAATTAATAATTACTTAAATTTTTTTTGAATAAGACAAGCGGTCAAACATTTTTAAAAAAGTCAACGGCGTCAAAAATTTTGGGATGGAGGGAGTATATTTATCTCTAATTCTACTCGGTTAGGGGACATCTATGGTTATAAATAGAAGACCCTCTAGGAGGAAAGGGAGACACAAACCAAGATATGCCAGAACAAACCAATACAAGCCAAAACAAACCAATACATGCCACCTGGCATCGACTTCAGAGATTAGCCTAGACATACCCAATCTGGCGCATCAAACGCCGACAAGAGGGATCTAGCGCTATCTCTGATCTCACCGAGTACGTATTTGAGGCGGAAGACTACCCCGTCATCGACTATGTGTTGGTGTTCCATGCTGCCAAGCCGACGACGACTAGATAGGTTATCCCAAATATTGTATTTGTATGATTATGATGAATAAGAGTAACACCGGTTTCGCCCAACAGGAGTAGTGTTGTTACCTTCCGATGAAGGGGCTCGAACCTGTATAAAAATCTTTATCTCTATGTATTTTACCTCAACCTTGTATATCCCCTGATACCAACGATCCCCATACAATGCAAATACCGTAGTCGTGATCTAAAACAACGACAAAGTCGATTTGGCTTTTCTAATGTCAAACGTTTTAAAATTTTGATCAAGTTTATAGAAAAATATAGTTTATAGCTTTAAATTAATTTTATTAAATCTAACATTTAATATATATATATATATATATATATGACACTCATATGGGGCACCATGGTGCCCGGGCACCATGGTATCAAATGCACAAAATCACTCAAATTTTTCAAAATTTTCAAATTGTGAGTATATACCTAGTTATAATAACTCGATTCATACCTATACCTATCAACAAAACAACTCAAATTTAACTTTATTTCACAATCCATGATTACATACCTAACTAATTATATGTATGGATGCTATATACCTAGAATCAAAATCTAACAAAAACAAGTTCAAATTCAGTTCAAACTTGCTTTGAACTAGTTAGTAAAGTAGTTAATGTTAATATCTAAGTAATTGAAAAAGTTTCATACTCATTTGAATTGGGTATATACTCAATTTCAACAATGGTGCCCGGGCACCATGGAGCACCAAACAAATTTACTATATATATATATATATATATATATATATATATATATATATATATATATATATATATACACTACACCCGGATATAGAATAGCTATTCTATACCCCCCTCCCTCCCAAGGGCCAAACCCACCTCCCCTCCTTTTTAAGGGCTCAAAACCCACCTTCCACCTCAGTCAAAGGTCAGTCAAAGCACCCCCACGTCGGTCAAAACCCGGTCAAACTGCCTACTAACTCCCCCACCACCCACCTCTTCTCAGCTCTCGTCTTGTGAAACAGTGCAGTAACGCGACATCCATTGTGCAGTAAAACTGTGTCTTATGTGCAGTAACAACATTCAAATTTAGTTAAAATATAGTCATGACGGATCTACTTTTGATAAGCATTTTTTTTGTAACATCATGGTACAAACGGTTTTAAAAAATTATACATCACATGAGAGATATTGTTATTCGAAGCTTGGGTTTTTTTTTTATCTTAACTCTCCACAAGTAGTAATACTATAGCATTACTACTTGTTACTACTATCTGTAATGCGTTACTACAATCACTACAAGAGATCTTATGATAGGTGACGTTTCATTTACGTCACAAACACATAAAATTTTGTCACATTTCGTAATCTGTGACGCTCGCATGACGAAAATTCATTCGTCACCTATCATGCGTCTCTAATGACGTTCTATGACGAAACCTTATTTTTTTCGTCATTAATCTAGTGACGATCCTTCCATCGTCATAACTTTGTGACGCTCATATTCGTCATTATCTAGCCTATAAAACGTCATAAACTTTATTATGGGCTGTCAAGAACCATGTAGTTCTCGTGGGCTAAGCCCAATTGTAAATCTTGTCAGCTTTAGGCCTAGCCCATCTAAAAAATAGCAATTTACATACTACTGGCCTGTTTAGAGCAATGTCGTAAGCAACCTGATTATGGGCCAAATCCAATTACGTAGCAATTTATACACTATTTCAGCCCAGTTTGCTAATCCATTTGTAGCAGACTAGCAATACCAGTACCAGATACCAAGTGGGCCAAGCCCATTTCAAAAGACTATACAAGCCCAATAAATCATATAGCACAAAATTACAGCCCTTATAATAGCCAATAAAAACCAATGGTCATCTAATACAGTGCAAATACATATGTGCCAACCCAGTCACATATTCAAATACAATCACAGTCACAAGTTCACTGACCATGAATACATTACAGATTAACTAGCCAAAACAAAATACATCGGCACATAATCAGGTTCAGTACATTAGTACTGACTTAACACATAATCACATGTCAAAATACATATGTACCAACCCAACCACGTCCAAATACAATCTCAGGTTCACTTACCAAACACAAAACCATGTGTCGAAATCACACCAACCAAAATACCACTGCCGTCTCATCATGAATCATCAAGGCGACACGAAGAGGATGGACAAACCTTACATCTGAAATTACATGCAAACAATTTGTAAATACAAGATGCAAAAATTTGTAAACAAAACATGCCATCACACTCTGAAAGATTTTTTGTATGCAGAGTTAATGGGTTATATACAACAAGCAATCATTGTAAAGTTTTCTTATCCATAAAGCAATTGTTGCTTCAGGATATTTACATCGACACTTTAGCAAGAGATGTAAATAAGTAATTACGTTTGCACTTATAGGTTATTCTTGGAGACAGTATGTTAACTAAATTCTAACTATAATATATCAATGTATTTTTTATGCATGCCCAGAATAGTGTATGGGCTGACCTGGAAATGATAAAACACAGAAGAGTGAAGAATCCCAATTTAATCCAAGTTTGATGGAAATAATATAATCCTAAGGAGATAGAATAAATAACTTCTTTTCAGTAGTAAGCTAAAAATCTGTCAAATACTACAAACTAAATTGAGGAGCAAGAGCTGAGCTCCTGCAATCAGAAAGTACCCGGAGAACAAAATCACAGGAGGGAGCAAGAAACAGTTGCTGCTCTTAAAACTTGCTTTCAAGTTTCAACTACAAAATTATTCCAGTGAACACAACAGGCAAACCCCAAACATCTTCTCTAGTTTGTTACAGTCATATAATTGTAGAGAGCATGCAAGGCACACTTGTCGTATATAAAAAAAGCTTAACATCGTTAAGTCAAAGTACAAAGAACGTGTCGAATGAGTTTTTCTTTAGACCAACAATGTAATTCTTACTCTACGATATACCTGTATACTCCATCTCGAAAAAAATGCAATTCTTACTCTAGGCAGCCTATACATTACCCTGCTTAGTCAATACTCAAAATTAGTTCCAAGAACATGTAATTAACGCAGCTATTAATCATGTTTGTCATTAGTAAAACAAAGACAACACAAACCTGTAGAAACCATCCAAGAAGAAACTGGATGAGAGCCTCCTCGCCAAGTTCATGTCTGCCAAAGTTTCCCAATGACCAGTCTCTGAATTGTACAGCTCGGCAGATTTCAGCACCTGTCCATTCTTATCACACCCACCAGCGACAATAGCAATTTCATCAAAGCTTCCTGAGGCAAAGAGCACTACTAGACATTCAATTATTAACGATGAAGAGTAAACAGTCCTGGTCGTTACAGACTTACAGTTAATTCCAGCTAGTTAAACCAAAACTGACGACCACCATATTAGTCCTTGTTAAAATTATGTGGTATACGGTCGTTATTTGGGCATCTACTTCTCCCCATATTTCCTGACGCAGGTGGCCCATTAACGTGACCCTTTGAGGAGCCCAACACACGCTGCTAGATCAAGTAAGTTTGAGGTAATCTTAGAGCAGTACCTATCCTAATTTTTAATTCAGTTTGGATGATATTAGTTGACGCCTAATTGCAAGATTTTGCTTGATCCAAAAGTTTTGCAGTTATTTTCCAGAAATGCTGGACCACCAATTCAAGCAAATGAGCAGAGTTGCAGCAACTCTTCATGTCCTCTGAACTCTCCCACTAGTAGCACACAAACATGAAGAATTGACAGGTTTGCGTTTATAACAAGTTGTGTACTATGCACAAGTTCTTGCAGTAAATATATGCAGTTTGAATGCTTCAACCTTGCGCAGAGTCATTACTGATTGCTAATGCTGCCTACTTCAATACTACTTTGAGAAATAACTAGGTACAAGTTAAAGATTTCAGTTTGCTTATGGTTCATGGATTATTGTAGTTACCAAATGAGCATCCATTAAGTAAATGGTTGGTATTCTCCTCACCTTGCTGCCTGACATGTTTGATTTCATTGGAGTGCATCTGGACCAACCACAGACCAGTAAATTGTACATCCAAATAGCAAGAACTGCAAATTGTTGTTACCTTGTATATTGATAATGAACTGCAACTTCTTTATCCACTGCTTCCATCTAAGATGTCCTGAGAGCACAAACTTTTTAACATTACCTAATTATTAAATCAATGGGCACCAAGAACATAATGAACCCAGATCATAAAAAAAATCTTTGTTTTCTGTGAAAATCTTCATTTATCTGAGAAACGAAGAAGGCGACGCCAAAGACGAGCCGTCGAAGTCGGCCCAGGTGACCTCCGCGTCGTGACCCGTGCTTCCCATCCCAGAGGTGACCACGGCGGTGACATGGGGGCAATCTCAACAGGTCAAGTCAGCTTCGATCAGAGGAGGTACCAAGGGGAAAGAATAGGGGAGGGAGGACGGCGGCGACGGGGGAGGGAAGGAGGGGGCGAGGGTGGCCGGGCGGCGGCGCTGGAGTTGGGTGGGAGGCCGAGCCGCTGCCGCCGCGGCCCGGTGGACCCCCTCCGAACCCGCACACAAGAGGCGCGACCTCCGGCGCCGGTGGGTGCGGAGGCGGATGCCGAGGCGGCGTGGGCTTCTCCTGGCTCGCCATACCACCTCAGGGCCTTGAATCCTTGATCCTTCAGCCGCTTGGGTGTCGGACAGCCTTCCCGACGAAGGACCAGCGGAGATCGAGGCTGCCCTTCCGAGGACGGCGCCGCCGGATCCGCCGCCGCAGGCTGTCGCCGTGCCCGCCACCCGCCACCGTCGTTGCCGTGCCCGCCGCTGCCGGGGCCGCCACTCCCGCCCGCTCCCAACCTCCAGTCGGTGAGAGAGAGAGGAGAGGAGGAAAGAGTGAGAAGAGAGGCTGAGAGGAGAGGAGAGGAGAGGAGAAAATATCAGGAGGAGAGAGAAGAGGAGATGAAAAAATTTGGAGGGAAAAAAATTAATTTCAAAATATTAAAAATTCAAATCGAATTTTATTATACTAAATGAACTCATGTAAAAAAGTTGTTAAAAATAAAGTTGTAGAACTTTTATTGAGATCTACCAATTTTCTTTTGGTCATTTCTCCATCCGAGTTTGATTGAACTATATAAAATTTGAATTTTAAAATATAAGAAATTTAAATAATTTTTCGGGTTGTAAATGATTTCAAATGGAAAAGTTGTCAACAACAAAGTTGTATAAATTATCAATATCTTCAACTTTTGTTTTGGTCATTTTTCTATATGACTTTGTTTGAACAGTTTGAATTTGAATTTGAATTTCAAATTATGACAATATCAAACAACATTTACAAGTACTAAATGATTTCAACTGAACAAGTCATCAACAATAAAGTGGTATAACTCATCAATATCTATAACTTTTATTTGGGTCATTTCTTCATCCGACAAAGTGATTTGTAACATTGTTCACAAAATGTATATATCTTTTATATACTTTATTTATAAACTATAAGAGGGATATATAAATTTTGTTAACAATATTACTATTACTTTATCGGATGAAGAAATGACCAAAATAAAAGTTATAGATATTGATGAGTTATACAATTTTGATGTTGATGACTTTTTCAGTTGAAATCATTTAGTATTTGAAAATGTTGTTTGAAGTTGTCATAATTTGAAATTCAAATTCAAATTATTGAAACAAAGTCATATAGCAAAATAACCAAAACAAAAGTTATAGATCTTGATAAGTTATACAACTTTGTTGTTGAGAATTTTTTTCATTTGAAATTATTTACTACTCGAAAATTTATTTGAATTGATAAAATAGACTTCTCAGTGAGGGAGGAGCAAATAGATTGGGCCGGCGGCCCAAAGAGGGAGTAGGGGAAGGGGAAGCCGGCCCGAGGAGGGAGAGAGAGGCTGTGTGGGCTAAGGAGGGAGTAACACTTGGGCCGAATAAGGCCCAAGTAGAGGGAGCAATTTTAATTAGTTTTCCATTTATTTTAATAGGTTAAATAAACTTTGTGGTATTAAAATTAGTTATTGAGCTTAAAAAAAATTCACGGAAAATTTTAGAGAATAATTTCAAACATGTAGAATATTACAAAATAATTTCGCCCATGATTTTTAAAAGAAAATTTTAGTTTACTCATTAATTCACTCGATTAAATTGCTTCACCTTTTAATATATTTTTCTAGAAATGCATTATATAAATCTGTGACGTTTGTTTTTTTGCCGCTTATGACAAATTAATATTCGTCACAATGTCCCATTGAAATACTTTATGACGATTTCTAGTCGGTATTAACGACGAACACATTTTTTTCGTCACTAGGCCACCCCATCTCATACTAATCGTCATAAAATGAAATGTGCTAATGACGAATAGCTCCGATGTCACGAGGAATTCGTCACAGAAGGTCATATTTCTTGTAGTGAATCCCATCACAACATTACTGTAAGTGTGTAGTAAAAACCATAAGTTTTGTAGTAACAATGCATCTTACTGTAATTTATGAATAGTGTTACTGCATAAACATGTGGTAACGTGTACCTGCCATGTAGTAACACTTCCACTTTGTGCGGTAACATGTATATTTAGCATGTGAGACTTTTAACCCATATTTTTCTTTTGATTTCTGGTTTACTACAATTTCACCACGATGTTACTGCCAAAGGTGCAGTAACGTTCTATATGTTCTACAGTAACAAAGTGTTTTACTGCAGTTCTTGGATAGTGTTACTACGTAAACATGCGGTAATGTGTAACTGTCAGGTGGTAACGTGTATATGCCGTGCAGTAACACTTTTATTTTTGTGCAGTAACAAGTATATGGTTAGCATCTAAGACTTTGAACCCATATATTTTTATTTCAATTCCTGGTTTACTGTAATTCACAACAATATTACTGTCAAAAGTGCAGTAATGTCATATACATGCATGCAATAACACTATATTGGAGGGAGGAGACCGGTTTTCTTAAGAAGAGGGAGGAAGAACGATTTCTTGAGGAGGAGAATATGTAAATGCATTTTGAAGTTTAAACCTACACATGCACTATAGTATCATTGTGAAAACGGTTTTAAAAAATAATACATACCTTGTGAGATATTGCTTTTCAAAAATTGGCATTTTGAACTTTAATCCTCCACATGCAGTAACAGAATGTGTAACTTGCAGTAACAAGGGCCTATACATGCAGTAACATGGTTTTACCAAATGTATAAAATTGATCAAAACACTCCTACATCAATCAGACCTCGCTCAAAGCCACCAACAGACTTTACCTATAGCCCACTTATTCGATCTTCATCTCGTAAACATGACATAGTAAAACTACAATTATCGTGCAGTAACATAGCTACTTGGAAGTGGTAACATGCACCTATCATGTAGTAACACTTCTACTTTTGTGCAATAACAAGCATATGGTTAGTATGTGAGGCTTTAACCTAGTAATACCAATCACTTGACTATAATAACAACCTATATATTTTGTAGTAACCGGACGCGTATCGTTACTACATGTTCTGTGCCAGATACTACAAGGATTTAGCACGTATGAAAAGATAAATTTTTACTAAGAAAACTCTCTCACAACTGAGAAATAGCCTACTGGTTAGTGCCATGTGGTAATTTGAGTTGAAGGTCTTGAGTTCTATTCCCATTGAAGGCAAATTTTTCCTTTATTTTTTTCTCTCTCAAAAAAGGGGAGGGGTGGAGGTGGGATCGGGAGAAAAAAAAAGGAGAGGAGGACATAGTTTCTTTGTTTTACATTGAAAATATAGTTATATTTTTCTACAAATCTTGATCAAAGCTAAAAAGAAGATGGATTTAGAAAAATGTCAACAACAATTAATAATATAAAACAGAGGTAGTATTAGATTACATAAACATACTGTAAGGATTAACTGGTTTTTTGATCATGCGCAACATGTCGTCCATAATTATTGAGATTAATTGATATAACATCTAAAACAGCTAAGGTGAGCACGTAGTTTTCTATGGCTTGTTCTTTTTCTTCCACTTTTTTGCACGGTACCTTCTTGTTCTTCATTAGCTGTCATTAAGCAATAGGCATTCTCCACAGAGAATAGAGATTCAGTGATGTCGACTAATCAGATTTATGTCCGTTTGGATGATTAAAACTCCTCTCGCAAGATCTGATCTCCTCATTCTCTCAGCATAATTGTCTATATCAATGGTAATTGAATTTCTGCCCCCAAATGCAGTCTCCAGCAGATCCATGTCAAACATTTCAGACACTATCTTGTGGCTCTCTGGATTGTTAGTATATAGAAACTTCACCTTCTCGCTCATCTTTGCTTCCAAGAAGTGCTTTATAATCTGCAAATGAGGACAAGACAACTACTAGTTCATACTTCTTTCGTTTCATATTATAATACTTTCTAGCATTGTCAACATTCATAGATATGTTAATTATTACCAGTTAATGAATGTAAGCATATATGTGTGACTAAATTCATTAACATTTATATGAATGTGGACAATGCTAGAAAGTCTTATAACCTGAAACGGAGGTAGTACATATATTCACTAACTAAATCACAGAACATCATTTAGTAAGAGTAAATAGAAGTCCTGAATATTGCATAGTACCTTCCAGAAAGATTCAAAAATCCTTGGAGTGTTGCTGAGTATTGCTACTGCAATAATCCCTGGATAGTAGTTTTGAACTATGTGCATGGATTCACGGGATGTCGATAATGGCGTACTTGATATACTCCAGCCTCTGAGGTCTATCAGCCAAGTAACATGTTCTTCTTGTTCATCTGCAGAGTTCATAGCCAAACTCTCCAGGAGATATACAAAGTGTTTTATCTGCTCCTTCCCTGAAACTCTCCCCTGCTAATTCGTCAACATTAGAAACCTTCAAAATTTTATTGTCCATAAACGCATCATACATAATAAAAACCGTATTCAACTTGAACTGTAAGAACAGCACTTTTTGCCACCCCTAGTATGGTAATCTGTTGGTAAGAGAACTGCAGAAATATAACTTTATTTTGTAGTCATGCAAGTCTGAGGTTCTGAATTCTACAGAAAAGTTAACTTTCAGTCACCTAATTAAGTTGGCATTGTATCCTGTTAGTATTCATTGATTTTCTTCGAGAACGTCTTTAGTTTTTTCAACCGGGGACTTGAATCATTTCATTTGCTCCAAATTACTAGTGGATTGTTATCACAGTCAGACCGGCATATATATATCCTGTAGTCAGCAAAAATCTGACCTTAATTGTCGGCTTTGTGATTAGTATAGATCTTCCTTTGGCATCAAGGTAGTCAGCTATATATGCTCTCCTACCCTCATACTCCTTGTCAGCAATGTCGTCCAAAACATAATAATTACAAACAATTATGCTTTAGAAAAAACAATTGGTACAAACTCAACAAAGGGGTTGATTTGGGATTTGTGAGAGCACCCAGCAAATGCTTTCTGGCCTGTACTGACGCCTCCACTTGACAGTTTCTTTGAGCGACTTGGTTGCTTGTTCCGTGCTCCAGTTCCTTGCCCTTAGGAAACGGCGGATGGTGGTGTCTGATAAGAATGCCGGCATCTCAGCTGCCAGGCTTCCCAGGAGTTCCCGGACTTGAACTATCTTCAGGTGCACATCAACCAGAACAAAATAGTTTAATTTAGGGATAAGGTTTAGACGATAACTATAGAAGTGAAAATATGAAGGAGGAGTTGGTATTGACAGCCCAAAACTACAACCTGCCCTACAAATTATCTGGATCAAAAAGCAGTCAGAACTCACATGAAAATGCTAGTGGCAAGTCACGAGAAGAACAAAAAAGAAATCCTAGGGGCAACAATTGTTGACATAAGAAAACATATTAACAACTAATGCACCAAAATATTTTTTTATTACTCTTGTTTCCTTTTCTCCATCCACATGCAACAAAATTTTATTTAATAATTGCTAAGAGTCGACTCTAAGATGTTGTCATGCATTACAACGATGTTTCTTTTTCCTCTTCTCTCTGCCTTCCATGTTTCCAAATTTACTTGCATAGTAACGGAGAGAGCCTGTTAATAATTAAGCACTGTTGTACATGCCTTAATACTGGTTTAAGATTTTTGTTTTTATGTTTTGAAATTCCAAAAATAGTCATATTGTAATAGTCCATGAAGCTGGACATTCCATAGTAGTAAAGTGATGCTATGCCCATTGACTATGACGTGGCAGCATTGTACCACCACACCGTGCCTTCTGGCTAACCAAACCCTTTGTGCCATGCTATGCTAGTCCTATATTTTGGATTATACTTGTTCTTATAAGACAAAATTTAAATTTTCAACCTTAAATTTGGAGTTGATTTTAGGGTTTTCATCGTAGTTTATTTTTCAACCTTTACTTTTAGATGGCTAAGAACATGTATATAAAAGTTTTATTTACAAACCATTTTCCGTTTGCAAATATGGTGTTTCGCTTATTCCGTCAATAAGTGAAATGATGAAGTCTACTGTGGTTGGGAGCTTTTTGGTTCACTAGAAAAATACCAATGATTTGCTATGGATAAAATATAATATAATATTAAAAAATTGTCAAATATGTTAGTACAACTTTTTTAATTGTTTGAACGAAATATTTATGCTATTCCATAATATTCAGGAGCCAATTTGTAAAAACAGTTATATATAGGTGACAGATTCACTGCCACTGCTAGGGACTATTAAAAGTGTATATATGGTGCTGTTTGGCTTAAGGGTTAGTGGTCAAAATTTCTGTTTTATGCATGGCATAATATCACTGGATGACCGGTGGTGGTAATGGGTTTTTTCATGAGCTTACCTAGTCCTCAAATATTTTATAGGGTAAAAATATTTCGGTCTATGGAAAACATTTCATCCACCCCTGCGAATGACAACGCACTCCTATGGATAAGTGGTTGTGTTCAGTTTCAACCCAGCTATCGTTTACCACCCTTGTGTGATAAGTTTTAACTACAAAATTAGAGATATTTAACTATTTATTACTTTTAGATGTGATTTTTAACGATTATCATCTGGAATTATATGTTAGAAACACACGAGAATCCACATGCTATAGGAATATATGAGTCGTAAATTGCTGGAAAACCTTGTTGGGCTCTATTTTTCATACTAGAAATTGGACTACAGTCATCAGGCCCTCTACAAAAAAACTTGCCGAACTTCACCGAATTTCAGATGTACTGTGAATCATGTAGCTGTCTGCCTGAACCATCGCAACATAACTTGCTGCTATAACGGCTAGTATTACTAATCTTTTCTGTTGGCAACTTTTTTGACAAGTCGACAAGCACGATCGCAACACCTAAACGCCTTGCGGTGATATGGAGTCGCCAACCACCTCGATCTAGCCAAAGGGCCAAATCAAGATGGGTTTTGTAGAAAAACAGCTAAACCGGCTAGCGGAGCCGATTTAGAGATCAAAATCAGCCTCTAGTCCGATTTAGATCGATATGAGGATAGCTACCCATCTCGTGGGCAAAATGGAAGGTTTTCAGGACAAACCTACGAAGAGGTGTCGCACTCTCGCAGCGGCGGCGGACGGTTTACGGCGCAAACCGACAAAGATCGACTAAACTAGGGTAAAATACAAAAAAACATAGTAAAAGAACGATTCAAATAAATTGTATTCGGGGGTTTTACAATGAACCGGCCTTGTCCCTTAAATAGGGGTTGGTCTTGCCCTCTACAGGCCCTTCTCCACGTCTAATTCGGGATAGAAACCAATGGAAACACGAAACATGCTTTCCCGAGTAAGGAAACCCGAGACCCGACGAAAACAGACTCGGACTCGGACCCTGACGGTCTGACCGCCCACATACCTGCGGTCAGACCGGCCCTACTAGCCGGTCAGACCGCCCACATACCATTGGTCTGACCGGCCCTACTAGCCGGTCAGACCGCCCACATACCTGTGGTCTGACCGGCCCTAGTGAAGGAAACCCGGCACTTTCCAAACTTTGGCAATTTTTCCATATTTCGTCCATAGGTGCCAAATTTGGGTGTAAACACTTTCATGTGGCGCTACAGCAAAGGTGACCACTTCCTTTCCCTCTCAGCAGCCAGGAATCTGTCAGCATTGCAGGGGATCGGTGGTTTTCCAAACATAACTTGTGCATGTTGTTTTCATCTGTTGTAGCCTTGTAGGCTTGTAGCCAGAGTTGATTGCCTGAACTAGTTATTGATTTCTTGCAACTTTTAAGTTTTTTTCATATTTCTCTGTTTTTCTATTTTTGTGATTGAAACATAGAAGATTATTAAACTTAGAAAAACACATGAATAACCGATTGATTGGACTATAGAAAAAATGTAGGAATCAGACGAGAGAATTAGATTTAGAAATTTTTTTCGTGAGGTTGAAGTTTTTGCTAAATTTCATCTAAAATCTTTATAGAACTGTCCATCCCACGGGAATTTCAAAGGATAGAATATGATTCAATCATTGTTTTAAAAGACTTCATAGGAATTTTTTTTATAGGATTGAAATCCTCCATAATTCCTATATTTTTCATACAAATCAAAGAGACCCTTGCACCTCTTATTTAATATTTGATCATTTGCTGCACCAATAAAAAAGATTTGTATAATGGGTATAATACAACATAACAGTTTGGTAGTATAGTAAGAACTGCAAAGTGGAAAATCTGGTACAACTTGGGCTTCGATTTTTTTAACTCCAAACAATAACTTTCTCATTTTCTGTTAGCAGTCTTTTTAAACTTTTAAATGGTGTGTTTTATTAAAAAAACTTATGATATAAAAGTTTCTTTAAAAATTCAAATGAAAAAGCTTATAATAATCAATATCTTATATTGTTTTATGTGGCATGGGAAATCTAAACCAAAAGGATTATCTGTTGCAGTCAAAATGTAAAAGTTAAATTTAGTTAATTTTGTTTATCATAGTACATATTTTAGCATTGGTTTGAAACTGCTAACAATATAAATATAAAAGTTTATGCATCAATGATTTTAGATGCTTCGTTATTTTTTACGATATCAGTCTAGCTCGAACTACGATGAGCAGTCCGATATAAAACCAGCTGGCTGCTGCATGGCTAAAGCGTGTAATATAGGACTTCTGCCTTGACCAATGACCAAGGATGTGTTTGGTAGGATGGATTTGATGAGTTGGGTTAGTGTCATCTTATCCTTTTTTTTAAGTGTTTGGATGCAAAAACTTCGTGGGTTGGGTTAGATCCAAATGGGAATATTTTATACATATGTAAAGGATTTAGAATTCTGAACCTTCTCCGCTTGCCATGTTTATGTGCACCACACCCACTACTGGAAAAATGATCTTTGCTGGGTCGACCCAAAACCACAATAGTCCCGGTTTCAAAAAGAACTGGGACTAAAAATGATCTTTAGCCCCGGTTGAAAACCGCACAGCTATTATATGATATTTAATCCCGGTTGTTGTTACCAACCGAGACTAAATATGGTCTTTAGTGCTGGTTCATTCCGTGTCAGAGGCATGTCAGGGGGCGAGGATCTTTACTCCCGGTTGGTGACATCAACCGGGAGTAAAGATCGCCACTTTACTCCCGGTTGGTTCATGTAGATCTTTACTCTCGGTTGGTATTACCAACCGGGAGTAAAATTCAACACATTGTATATAATCCCTATCCCTTATCCTCTCCTCCACAATCGCAACCACTCAGATCCTCCCCTCCCCTCCCCTCCCCTCCTCCTCTCCCCTGGAGAGGGACGCCCTCCTCCCCTTCCTCCTCCCCTCCCCTCTCCTCCCCTTCCTCCTCCCTCCCCTGGAGACGGAGGCCCTCCTTCCTCCTCCGTCTCCAGGCCTCCCCTTCCTCCTCCCCTCCCCTCCCCTTCCTCCTCCCTCCCTTGAAGACGGAGGCTGCGCGCCGCGCGGACGCGTGGTGGATAGACGGGCGCGTGACGTGCGGTTGCACGGCGCGCGCGGTAGTAGTGGCGCCGTGATTGGAGCTTGTTTTTTCTTTTTTTTATATATTTTGTGATTCACTAATATGTATAATTTTGTGATGGATTGTATGGGTCTGAGATGTATAGTCTGTGATGTATTTGATTTGTGTGTAATTTTTTTAGGATTTGTGATGTATTTGATTTGTGTATGTTAGTAACTTTAAGATTTGTGATGTGGATTGGGATGTTACTTTGATTTGGGGATTTGGGGTTTGATTTGGGATGTGAATGCCACCCGATTCGGGAGAAAATAAAAAAGAAACAAGAAAAAAGAAAAGGGACCATCTAGACTGCCGCTATCCCTCTTTAGTCCTGGTTGGTGTAAAGAACTTTCTCTTTAATCCCGGTTTTTGCTACCAACCGGGACTAAAGATTTAGTCCCGGTTATTTCAACCGGGACTAAAGATGGGCATCTTTAGTCCCGGATTCCTACTCCTGGTTGGAAATCCAGGACTAAAGGGGGTTACCAACTGGGAGTAAAAAAGGTTTCTCCACCAGTGACCTGTGCCTCTCACACAGTGCATTCCTACAGCTGAAATAGTCTCATAGAAATTCCACAAAACCGTATTTAAGATGCACATAAATTTGTTCTAGAACAAAACAAAGTTTATTTGTCTTGTAGGAATAAAATTTTTTTAGATTTAAGCACACATTTATGTAGGATATAAATACTTTATAGCAAGGGTAATTTTTTAGGAGTTTTTGAAGTCATTTATTAATTTTGAAATTTTGAAATTGCTTTCATCCTTATGCGTGATCGCTAAATTAGAGTTATATTTGTTAATCACTATCAAGAGTTATGTTAATCGCTAGGAGAGATATGATCTTCAGTACCGGTTCTTTATTTAATTTATAGTATCGGTAGAATGAACCGGTACTAAAGATATATACTAAGGCAAAAAAATATGTGGGATGTGAGATTTAGACTCAAGATCTCTCATGATCTCAGCCTTTCACACACGTTACCATCCCACCTACTACACACGTCTAACTTGGATAGTGATGCTTCTTTTTAACTAATCCTAAAGACAACTTTAGTCGTGGTTAGTGTTACCAGCCCATACTAAAGATGTATTTTTATTACCGGTTGATAACACAAACCGGTGCTAAATATATTTCGGAGACTTGGGCTTTTAGAACCGGTACTAAAGAGTTTTTTAGTATTGGTTCTTAATATATCCGGTGTAGTTGTGGTTTGGGGTATTAGATAAAAAGATAAGTTTTCTGGTAGTGAATCCAAACCAAAAAGGTTGAAAATTGGATGGTTTTGAACGTTTAGATTTTAATGATGCCGAGGTTCTTTTGGTCTTTTGCAGAAGTTCGGGACAATAACAAATGAAATACGCGGACAAGATGTCACCATTCCAAAAGTAAAAGATAAATGTGCACATCACTGCACCGGAGGGCTCTTTTATGTCTAATTTAAGTGTAAATTTTAGAAACCCTATGTATTATAGTAAAAATTGCAGAAGACTAGAATAAGGGTGTGCTCGTTTCAGTAGATAGGATGGGCTGATTAGCCGAATGTAAAACGAGAAATGTGATTAACATATAATTAATTAAGTATTAATATATAAATTTTTGATGAATAAATTTGTTGGACTTTTTTAAACAACTTCTTTATAGAAAGTTTTCCCACGAAATACATCATTTAGCAGTTTGAAAAGCGTGCTAACGAAAAACGATAAGAATCTAATCCTATAGACTGAAAGCGCACCCTAAATCTCCCACGCAAGCGGCCAGCATGAGCCCAAAAATCCAGCGCCCACATTCGCACGCATTTGGGCCATCGCATCTCCCCCATTCAATCTATAGATAAAAAGAGAAAACCTTACTTTCATCCATCTCTGTTCATTCATTCTACCCATATCTCATCTCATGTTCTCTCCCTGTACGTCCTGAGCACGTGGCCCACCTTAGCATCCATAGAAGATGCTCATGGAGAGGGAGGGGATGGCGCTCGACAACAACATGGTGACCGGCATCAAATGCTGTGAAGGCGATGGCATGCGGCGACCTCTGGTCACCAATATAGCTAGGCAGCAACGGCTCTTCTTCGTTTCTCATGCTCGAGGAGGTCGGCGTGGATATCAATGGCTCACCGCTGGTAGCGCGCTGGAGAGAAGCACGAGAATAGTGTGAACGAGCGTGATTTTTTGATTTTTCAACTGGTGTAACTTGATGTTTCTTTGTATTGAATCGAAATGTTGCAATGTGGTTTTTCAAGGTGCTCTGTAAGTTTGTTGTTGATTCATGCGGATTTGTTGGTGGTTGAACCTTGAGGTTTCATATATTATACTAAAATGTTTCGGTAATTGTTCAAATTTGTTTCATTGTTTTAATCATTTGACACATGTTTTTTGAGTAGCAAAACAACGTCCAATTTTTTTCGGAAAAATCGGATGCCGATTTTAGTCTTTCCCGAAGACTATATATATTATGAACCTAGCGTATGGTCTAATGCTTCTTAAAACCCTATGCAAATCTCAATTGATATTAGCATATCTGAAATAAAATAATTCAAAGCAGTGAAGAGTTAACCCAACAGCTAGCTGTAAACAAGAAATCAGTAATTAAAATATTTATGTATATTCTATTTAAAAATTTGAAGTAAATGCATGCTCAACTTGCATGGGGTTGAACTAGTTTAACAAAACTTCAAAACCATATACTTGGAGTTATACGTGATACTTCGACCATAAAAAATGGGATGTTGCTGAAATTAATTTACGCAAGAAACAATCACTACCCCAATTCTCTTTGCCCCGTTCGTTTTCTTGCTATGCTAAATGGCTAATGCTTTTGAAGCAGTAACTTCTACTGCATTTGTTATTTGTCATGACCTATAAGTTATACAGAAGGATCACTGGTAAGTTATTCCTACCTTTTGCTGCAGTTCTTCAGAAGATGGCGACTTCGGCTTGTCAGATTCACTCCTAGTCTTCAGCAGGAAACTCATTGCTTCAGAATAGGTATATATCTTGCCACCTAGTTTCAGAAAGCGATAAAAAACCAGAGTTACCTAGCTAGTTTGTGGTTTTTAGAATGCTTGTATGAAGTGGAGGAACCATTATTATATAGAGACGCCCGTACAAGATTGAGCATGGGTGGATGAATTGAGTTAGGTTGCAGTTGCCATAATACATGGAGCAAAAGATCGATGGTACAGATGAAAGCAATATTACATAATTAAATTTAGGCATGCTGATGGAGATGTGCATTGGCTAGCTCCCTGTGATCTTTCCTGGAATAAAAATATGTGGTGCAAGCCCATGTACTTTCTCCGTTTCATAATGTAAGACTTTCTATCATTGTTCGTATTCATATAGATGCTAATAAATCTTTATATACAATAATCTTTAGATTCATTAGCATCTATATGAATGTGTTAAATACTTAAAAAGTCTTACATTGTGAAACGGAAAGACTTTATTGTTGGATTGAAAAATGGACATCTGAAATTCGTCCTCGTCTCTATGAGTAAAAAAATTACTCGTAGTAAAATTTTTACTCATGAGTTAATCTGAGAGTAAAATTTTTACTTGTGACAACGTGGATAAATCTTATACGTCTATTTTTCAATCCAACGGTAGTTTTCAAGTTCCTAGTACATATACGTAATTTTGACCATATTTTTTTTGTTAATTCTGTATTAAGTCGATCCAGGTGTTTAATTTGGTTGCCAGATGGATCTGTTTATGCTATAATGACTGAAGTCTGAACAATGCCACTTTTACTGGAAATTAAGAAGCTCATTGTCCAAAAAAATGATCCAAAAAACAGGATATTTGCCTTGCCATTGAAGTCGAGAGAAATGTCACCTTTGGTTCGATTCGACCGTGGCTTTGGTTGATATGCATGTCTGATTGTTTGAGCTACATCTAAACCGTAGAAAAACGAACTAATCAACCAAAACTTTGGTTAGAACCAAATCTAATAAACCAAGCAGATGATGAAAAAAAGAGATTGCAATTTTCATGTTACAAGATAAAGAAATATATAAAATATGTCAAAATAGAACTAAGAGGCTCTGCGTTATGAAAACTATAAGAAAAACGAGCAAATAAGTGCACCCACAATCACTACTGGAAAAATGATTTACATAGACTCCTCATATTTATTTTTTAGGTGGACTAAAAAAACTCACTTATGACCGTTTGTAAAAATATATCAAGTTGTAAATGATCAAATCCGGCCTACGAAAAATAGTTTTATACCGTCAACCTGTAAAAATAAAAATAATTTTATAGGTCTACCAACAAAATTTTAAAATTGACGCATGTGGCACTTTAGGAGCACCACTGCCAAAGATATCGAAAATCAACCAATTATATTCTCTATCCCATACTTATCCCCTCACTCTCCAAACACTCCTTTCTTATCCTCTCCTTGTCCTCTCTCACACTCCATCTTCCACACTTATATCTCCTCTCCTTCTCCTGTTCTTCCTGTCCTCTCTTTCACTAGCCAGCATGGAGTAGTGGCAGCTCTGTCACGCTCGGAAATTCACTAATAATTTCTGAACTTATTTGTGCATAAAACCCTCGTCCAGAAATCAGCCAAGATACACAAACTGATAATTTAATATACAAATCCATCGTAATAATAACGTTACATACTTAAAAAAAAAGAAAACAACAGCGGAATAACGGTCTAACAATGGCTTCAGCTCCACTCCCACAGGCAGCTCAACTGGGGTATAAACCAAACGTCTTCCCCTTCTGGATCCTTTTTCTTCAACTGAGGTTTGATGATTGTTGCAAGAATGAGCATATGACATACTCAACAAGCCACACAGCAAATATGCAAGTGCACAAGGATACCAAAGGATGGCATAATATAGGCTCATTTGCGAAAGCAGCATTTAGCAAACATTTAAGAGAAATAAAACAGTAGAGTAATTAATTAGAAATTTTAATCAACACTGAATAGCACACCCATGCTACTCAGGCCCAACCAAACCTGAACAACCAACCCCGGTCGTACAGATCAAACCTCCAAACCAGGAATTATCCATTCCAAACCAGGAGTCAAATTAATTATCACATTATCATCATTAATGAGTAGTGTGAGACTAATCACGAAAAACATTGTTAGACCCGCCCATAACCGCGGGCACGGCTATTCGAATAGTTTTACTCTGGCCAGAGGTGTACCACTGTACCCACAAGACACGATTCCTCACATGTTGCCATGCCCCGAAGTACCACCACGGCACTGCAAAGGGGGAAATCGTGACAATACCTTTCGCACAACACAACTCACCACAGTGCACCATTCCTGGATCATAATCTTCCCCTCAAAACCAGAGGCAATGGACTCCCCAGCGACCCCCACGGACTTCTCGCCGCTTCACAGTCTGGCACCCCGTAATGAACCATGCTATACATGCTATACAAAAGATAAAGCCGTTGCCCACGCTGGCTTGTGGTTGGTACGGTTAATGTCTCACAACAGTAGCTCACGAACCGGTCCTTAATTGTCATGAGCACGACCTTCAAAACCATGTACTCACAACCCACCATTAATCAAGTTTTAATTATCAATTAATTATCATAACACAATTAACCATCGTGAGCTACCATTAAATATAACCATAAATAATAATGTAGTATATATGATTCATCCTATTAATGAGCTAATGTTTCTAAGCATGGCTAAGCAATTATATATATATATAGCATTTAGCTTAACCAAACCAATAACCTGAGGTGTGGTGTGCTTGGCTAGAGGGGGTTATGCGAAGGGTCCTGTCACGGCCTCTTTCCGGTATGTCGTGGTGGCATGTCGGCGCACGGAAACGTGTCGTGGGGCTGTGTCTTGTGGGTACAGTTGTACACCTCTGATCAGAGTAAAACTATTCGAATAGCCGAGCCCACGGTTATGGGCGGTCGACCAGATTCACCGTGATTAGTCCCATCTTAATAAATCGACCCAATACACTGTAGTTCAGGTGGGTTGGTTGGGCCTGTTCAACGTGGTGTAGCGTTGATCAGTGGAGGTTTAATGTTACTTTAATTACTCAACAGTTTTACTGTTTTGCTCAATAAAATGTTTTACAACCGCCTTTATGCAAATAGCCACAAACCATCCTTGTATCCCCTTGCACATCTGCATCGTTGGTGTGGCTTGCTGAGTACGGTGGTTGTACTCAGTCTTGCTATTATTCCCCCTTTTCAGAAGTGTAGTGCTTCTGAGCTGAAGATGGAGTTAGAGGACCAAGGCTCAGACCCCAGTTGAGTTTTGCCTATGGAGTGGAGCTGAAGCCCCGCTATGATCGCCTTTTTCCGTTGCTGTCGTTCTATTTCGGTGTGAGGACTAAGTGCCTCTTCCGTAAGTATTTTACGCTTTATTTACGTTTGGAACTGTATATTACTTGTCGTTTTGTGTACCCTGGCTGGTCCTGGACAGGGATTTAATACGCAAAATAGTCTGGAAATTTGGGTTAAATTTCTGGGCGTGACAAAGTGGTATCAGAGCCAACTTGACTGTAGGTTGAGCCAAATGGTCAAACCCTAAGGACAAGTTTTCTGAAAACCCTATTTGCAAATTGTCTCCTCTCGCCCTTCGGCATTTCTTTGTCAAACGGTTTTTCAAAATTCTCCTCCCAGTCTCTCCAATTTTTTTAGTTGTCACACCTAGAGGACCAGCCGTCAACTTCATGTCTGTTCGGAAGTCAAGTCAAGTCAAGCCTCAAGCTTCGTGCAAGGAGCGAGAAGATCAGTTCAAAGTCGTCGTTCCGCGAAGATCAAGTGAAGTTTTCTCGGAGATGACCTAAACCCAATGCTTCCCGGGAGGGTAGTTTCGTTAGCTTCTAGATCGTGCGTTGTTTGCTTGTGTGTAGGGGTATGGTTTGCATCACTGGTGGGGATGCGACCATACTAGGTTGTTTGCTTAAACAACTTGAATCATAAAATCCATTCACAACAGATCAATAGGCAAGTGGTTTAGTACCTCATCTCTAGTAACCCCTCCCATTTCCCCCTCTCTCTAGTGCCGGCAGCAGATGGTCTGCATGAGGGACAATTTCATCGGATCAAGACCCCGTCAGTTTCATGGGGCAACTCAGTGCAATTCTAATAGTATTCCACGTCAGCCTCTTGAAGATCAGCCTCAACCTCAAGTCATGGCTAATCAAACTCAGACAGTGGAAGAGTTGTTACAACAGATGCAACGTCGGTACCAAATATACCAGATGCAACAGATGCAACGACAATGTCAGGAGTCACGTCAATGTCACCCACCGCAGGTGCGAGATCAGATGCCAGCCCGGAACCCGAATCAGAGTCAGAGTCAGGAGTTCCTAATATCGGCACCGAAGACCCCTGTCAAAATGCTGTCCAGATCCCCGAAGATAACGACAGCCAAGTCATCGTCAGACCAAAGGAAAGTAAGTGCTACCTGTTATGACTGTGGTGAGCAAGGTCATTATGTAAGGAACTGTCCATGGAAGGTGTTCGCCAGGTCACCTAAAAAAGACGAGAAGCAGTGCCCAGGGAGTAACCAAGCTCCAAGTCAGTCTACCGACAAGAAGGATGGTACTTTGCAGCCCAATTCTGGAGCGAACAGGACAATGATAGGGAAGATGGATAATGGCAGGACCATGATCATCACCGGTTCAGAATTTACTCCTGAAGACGCAGCAAGGATACCCAAGCGTCAGAGAGGAAGAAATACCTTCTGAGGAGCGCGTCAGCTAACCCATCATCTCATAAAGTACGGTCCGCCCAGATCCGAAGATGATGAATCAGGAGAACGGTTTTCTGCTGATGACGATGACGACAACGATGATGATAATGATGACAATGATGATGCGACCCTTGACAGTTTCAGGGAAAGAGAGTTGAAGTTCAAAGAATGTGCAAGATGTGGGATAGTCGGACACACTGCTAGTTTATGCCTCCCCACATGCCGCTGTGGTGAATATACCCATTACTCAGATGCATGCCCTTTAAGGAAGGTCACATGTTTCTTGTGTGAAGGAACAGATCATGTGCCTAAGGACTGTCAGTTGAACGCGGTCATAGCTAAGACCAAGAAAGAACAAGGGACAACC